TCAAAACCAGATAGTTTTAAGGGCTCCAAAACATTCTTGATTGCCCTACCTTGCAATATGAAGCTCCACGGTACCAATGACTTAATATCACCTAACCTTAAAGTGTGGTTCACAGAGTGCCAGGATTCCCAGTACCCTTCTGAGAGTCAAACCATTTTTTTTTTTAAGATTTTATTTATTTATTCTTGAGAGACACAAAGAGAAGCAGAGACTAGGCAGAGGGAGAAGCAGACTCCATGCAGGGAGCCCCATGTGGGACTGAATCCCAGGACCCTAGGATCATGCCCTGGGCCAAAGGCAGGCACTAAACTGCTGAGCCACCCGGGCATCCCAAGTCAAACCATTTTCATAATACTACGATATTATTTGGCTTTTTTTCACTCTCATTTTCTCATGAGTGTACAGTGGAGTTTCCCCAGAATCTACATGATAAATGATATTATTAAGCCATGATAAATGATATTACAATAGACTGAATACAAGAGGATCCAAGAGAATCTGGCTTTTTGTAATTCAAAGACATCAAAGAGATTTGCAAATATGTAAAACAATGCCAATCTCTCACTAAATTTTTGTTTAAAAAATAGCTCTTTCATATAATGCATTTAATACCATTATTTTTAAATGAATTAAATATTTTTAAATTTTGTTAACTTTCAGTACTATTAATATTGATATAAACCATATGAACAGAGTTCTTTAGGGGCCTTAATTTGTAAAAGCATAACAGGTAACGAGATCTTTTTTTTTTTTTTTTTTTTTTTAGGTAACGAGATCTTGAGAAGAAAAAGTTTAGGATTACAGATGTAGCCAATTTAAACTGTTCAGTACTTCTGATCCCTAAAGGTTAAGATACATTTTCCCTACCCAGCATGTTATAAATCAAAAGAACCAATGTAAAAAGGGTAACATAAAGTGAAAAAATAAGTAGTACTAGACCAGGTATTTGCTTCTATCTGAGATTACATTTCCTAATTTGTAACCCTATTTTGTAAAATTTGTTTGTAGTAATATCTTCTACTATAAACCATGAATGGCATTCTTAAAAATGCCTCTGCATTTCAAGACAGTAACCGGAAGGAGCAACAAAAATATTTCTCAAGGAAACTTCAGATTTAAATTGTATACTTCAACATCCTTTTATTAAGCCAGGTATGATACTGAAATATATAAAAAAAAAAACTAAAAGTCTGTAGAAGATTACCAACACTGATGTCATTAACTCAGTCTGAAGCTCCAAAAACTGAAAAAAACTCATTTTCATTACAGAGACAGAACTTTAATTTTTGACAAACTAAATAGAAGTCTACTTAACTCCAAACCAGTTCCTTGAATACGTCTTTAATATCATTTGACATACTCTTGGGTGCTATACTAATAGAAAATAATTTAACAATAGCTTTAATTTTACTCAACTCAAAAAAAAAAGTGCAAAATCTTGTCTTATTTTTTTAAGCAAAATGGAAAGAGCTATAAATTATCGGGTTCCCTGCTCCCCTGCCTCCCAAGCATCTAGAGTATCCCTAAAAACTATCAAATAATTTACGCATAAGATGTTATTATTAAACTATTAACAGCTTAAGGCCAAAAACATGGATTCTACCGTAGCAAAGACTCCAAATACAGGCTATCAGCTTGGTTTCTGGTAGATTCAGCCAGCTGGCACTATGTTAGGCACTGGGGACACAATGAACAAAAAAATAAGTTTTAATCTTCATGAGACTTGCATTCTATTGTGTGAAAGACAAACACACACACAGGTAAGAATTATAAGCATGGTAAATGCTTTGCCACAAATTAGTTTTTAAAAGCTAAATTGTGGAATTCTAAAACCTAAAAATAAATAATTCATGAAGAGTTACACATCAAGATGACATGGATTCTACTGACCTTTACTAATGCATAAGAAAACTACAGACACTGCTCATGAAAACAAAGATCAATCTTTCATTGTTGAAGCTATCAAATGGCATTACTTAGCAATATAGTAGCCTTAAAAGATAATTGACCTCATAGTTCCAGAGTTAAAAAGCACGTAAACAAAAAAAAAAGCACGTAAACACAATCTTTAAAAAAACATCTAAGAGGAGCCTAAAGAGACATGACAACTAACTGTAATATGGTATCTAGAACAACAAAAAAAAGATAAAAACTAAGGAAATCTGAATAAACTATGACTTTAGTTAATAATAATATACCAATATCAGCTCACTTATTATAACAAATGTACCATACTAAGGTAAAATGGTTAAGAATACTGAGGAATACTGGGGAAACTGGGTGGGACTATATGGGAACTCTCTGCACAATCTTCTCAATTTTTCTGTAAACCTAAAACTATTCTAAAAAATAAAGTCCACTGGGATGCCTGGGTGGCTCAGCAGTTAAATGTCTGCCTTCGGCTCAGGGCGTGATCCTGGAGTCCCAGGATTGAGCTTCCCGGCATGAGTCTGCTTCTCCCTCTGCTTGTCTGTCTCTCTCTCTCATGAATAAATAAATAAATCTTTGAAAAACAAAACAAGGGCAGCCCCCTTGTCGCAGCGGTTTAGCGCCACCTGCAGCCTGGGGTGTGATCCTGGAGACCAGGGATCGAGTCTCTGCCTCTCTCTCTCTCTCTGTCTCTATGAATAAATAAAAATCTTAAAAAAAAAAAGAAAGAAAGAAAGAAAAAAGAAAAACAAAACAACGTCCATTAAAAAAATCTAAGATAGGGCATCCCTGGGAGGCTCAGCGGTTTGGCGCCTGCCTTTGGCCCAGGGCGCGATCCTGGAGTCCCGGGATCGAGTCCGGCGTCGGGCTCCCAGCATGGAGCCTGCTTCTCCCTCCTCCTGTCTCTGCCCCTCTCTCTCTCTCTCTCTCTCTCTCTCTCTCTCTCTCTGTCTATCATAAATAAATAAACCTTTAAAAAAAATCTAAGATGACTTCAAGAACTATATGGGGGTTGTTGTCAAAACTCAAAGTAAGAAATGATAAGCCACAGAACTCTGCAATACGAATTAGAATATAAATATTCAAGGAATTAACAAGAAACTTGCAGATACTGAAGTTATGATTGCTACTCATACTAATACCTTCCTAGGACAGAGATTAATGGATTTTTCATGCAAACTGAATAGCTCTGCATCACAACATAAGGCTAGCAATAACATCCCTAGGAAAAATAAATAAATAAATAACATCCCTAGAGTGTACAATAAGCACATTAGATTCTATTTATCAATAATGACCAATACACTGTATCTTGAGCATGGCATTGTCCTAAAACTGCCATAAAATTCCTAAACTAGGATCACTCTCAAAGATCTTACCAAGTTACTTCAAGAAACAAGCTTGTACTTGCTCAGGAAAATTCATAAAGCAAAGAGGAGACTATATTTTTCCTCAGTAAGCAGGGAGGGGGGTAAAGATTATATGTGAAAAGAGAAAAATGATTTCTCCAATTGGAAGCAATTTCTCAACTAATGTTAACCTACTTTAATGCCATATATATATATATATATTAGTATAAACAGTTCAAGGTAAAAGCTCTGAATTTATAACTGCTATCTGCTTTCCAATCAAAAGAAATTGTCCTCTCTACAGCCTAACCTAAGGTACCTAGCGGTTAACTCAATGTCTGATGACTTGGGAGGAACTAGTCTCTCAATGTCTGAATTTTAAAGATGGTCATGAAAAATGTGAAAAAAAAAAACAAACAAAAGAGGACAATAATTTCTACATTGTTGAGCGCCAAGTTTTATAATTCAGCATAAAATCAGAATCACCAGGAGAAATAATTTGAGAGAAAGCCATCACAAAACTAGGAGCTTGTATTTAATACAAAGTAAGCAACAGCAGAAGCCTAGCTAGGTAAGATCATTCCACTTATCACATACTATGGAATATTAAGCATAAAAGGGTCATTTAGCCGAAACGGTATTACATACTGAAGTCTAATTTAGATAACTAGATGATGAATCTATTCTACTCTACTCCATTACTCCCTGGCCCCAAAGGAAATCCTAGAAAACAAAGATGTTCGTTATTCTCAGGCCTTCTCTCACAGGAATCCTAAATATACAATTGGAAAACACTCAGAAGAAATGGAATAATTACTATTTCTCTGGTAATTCTTGTTTGCACCATCATAAAGAATCATACACTGCTCCATGTTGAAAGGAGAAAAGGAGGAGGTGAGATGTGAGAAATTCCAAGTAAAATGATCATGACATAGCATCTGGCAGAGATCGCGAAAGCGCCAACAGTGCCAAAAGAATTGTCAGGGAATCAAAGTCAGGAGAAGAAAATGAGGTTTTCTAACAAGCCACAGCCTAACCCAAGAAGCAAAAATTGCCCCTGCCGCCGCCACCCCTCTTACCCTCCAACCACTCCATCTTCAAGTCGCCTCCAATTCAGACATATATTCTCCATAACCCAAACTAATTCCCCACCTAAGTAAAAACAATCCAAGAATTTCTACGACACCCCCGCCACTTCCCACCTCCCATAAGATCCGCACTTCCCAGGGCCAAGCCTCTAAGGAAAACAACGCCCTAATCCCCCCACCCTCCTCGTCCAAGGTTGAAGAGGGACGGTTCCCGGGAGTGGGGCCTCCCGGGGTGGGCCTTCACAGAGCTGACGATCTGGGATAAAAGCAAAGAATAAGGGTGGGGCTCAAAGAAGGGGACTACGGTTGGTGAGACGACGGAGGCCGGAGGAAGAAAGGAATGGACAGCAGGCTGGGCGGGGTGAGACTGGGGCGGGGGGTGTGGGGGGGGCAGGTCGACGGGAGAGGCCCGGGCTGCGGGGGGGCGGGGAAAGGAGATGTCGGAGCCGCGGACCAAGACGAAGAGGAGCTGGTAGCTAAAGGGGGTCGGAAAACCCCCGGCAGGGCTGGGGGTAATGAGCACGAAACGCGAACGCGAGGCCGGTAGCCAGCCTTCGCGGACAGAAGGGCCGCACTGGGGGCGGTGCGGGGAAGCCGCGGCCAGCAGCCAGGAGTGGGGGAGCCGCGCACTCACCGCTCTGCTCCCCCAGGAACACAAGCTTGAATTTCCTCAGCGGATTCCCGAAGTCTCCGCCCGCGGACATGATGGAGCCGGAGGAGCTGCCGCCGCCTCAGCCCAGAGACCTCTCGGACCGACGCTGCTCCCACCGGCTGACGAAAAAGGGGAGAGGAAGGACCGACACCGAGCTCTCTCGGACCCTCTAGGGCCCGGCGGCGGAGCAAGGCTGCAGGACAGGGCTCCTCCCCACAGACAGGCAGAGGTCGCCGCCGCCTCCCCGCAGAGTCGCCTGGCACCGAGCGAGGCCCGCGGCTGGGGAAGGAAGGATGGCGGTATCGGAAGCAGCGCCCAAGGCTAGCGCCCTTCCCTTCTCAGCACCTGGCACCGAGACTGGGATGGGAGAAGGGGAGGGTGGCAGAACTGGAGCCGCAGACGCGTCTGGGACCTCTCACGCGCAGCGCCTCAGCTCCCACAGCTGCCGCCGCCGCAGCCCAACCTGCTGAGTGCGCGAGCCTCTAGCGCGGCGCGCGGCGAGCCCGGGCGCGAGCGTGCCGCCCCGCCGGCCGCCGGCGTGCGTGCGTGCGTGCGCGTGCGTGCCACGAGCCAGCGCCTTCCTGGTTTAGCCTGCTCTCCCGGCTCCTACCGCGCCGCTGAGGCCAGGGCAGGTTAGGTTGCTACGCGAATCGGGAGAAGCAAGGAGGAGGCGGGGCGGAACCCTGGGGAAGTGACGGGGGTGGAATAAGGAGCACTTACGTCACTTATGTGAGAACCAATCGGAAGAAGTCAAGGGCGGGCAGGGCTAGCAGTGAGGTGGCGGCGCGAGAGCGCGCGCGGCCCTTGCTGGGTGGAAAGCGTCGCACAGCGACTGCCATGGGAAGTGTGGCGTGTCGCAGCCAAAGGGGAGGGGATGGGGAGGGCGGAGGCGGAGCTGGCACGTAGGTTGAATTGACCTCAGCCCTGTGAGGGTGTGGTCCGAGAGCCCTAAGGTGTGTACTCTGTTCCTCTGCTCCAGAGCCCTCAGCCCTGCCTCGCTCTCCTTAAATCCGCCCTTCACTCGTGCGCTCAGCCACCTACTCCATCTTTTTTCTTATCATAATTCCTCACACGATATCTTACTAGGTACATTCTCCACTGTTGCTCTTAGGGGTTTCATAACTACCAGAAGCAGATCCTCTACATTTTTGCAGATGAGGAAATTGAAGCTCAGGGGAAGGAAATGACTTACAAAATCCACAAAGCCATCAAGTGGAACCTAGGTTTTGCCTTTTCCGCCAGTGAACCTCTGCAACCCTTCTTTTTGATAAGCCCATCCACTTCCCTGACCTGACCTGGCTTGGTCTGTTATCAGCCTTTGTTACTCTGATGTAGACAATTCTAGGTGACGCCCGCCTTCCACTGTGCTAGAAAAGGATTTAGACATTGAGGAAACCAAACCCTTCGTTTCACAGATGGTAAAACTGAGGTCCAAGTAGGAAAACAGCTATGCAAAAAGGTCGCAGAACAAAGTAAAGGTAAAGCCAGACTTTGAGCTCTATTGTGGGGGAGGAGATATTTTAAAGATCACCTTTTCCTCCTAAAACGGGGCTTCTGAATCTGTTGTGGGTGGACCTCCCCTAAATTAGACCTCTGAAGCATGAGCGTTTTTCTGTGGAGAGGACCTATGGCTTTCATCAGATTTTCAAACCAGTTTAAAACCCAAAAAATGAAGGTGAATGTCAAAACCAAGAGGAACCTAAGGAGACGTGACAACTAAGTGTAATGTAGATATAACATGGCAAACAACTCAGTGTAGCTTTTTAAGCTGAATGGGATCCTGGAAGGGAAAACGGACTTCAGGCAAAAACTAAACAACAACAACAACAAAAACCCTGAATGAATATGGACTTTAGTTAATTATGTCAATATTGGTTCCTTAATTGTAACAAATGTATTATGCTAATGTTAATAATAGAGGTAACTGGGGGAGGAGAGGTTATATGGGGATTTTCTGTACTGTCTGCTCAATTTTAACGTAAATTCAAAACTTTTAAAAAATAAAGTGTACTAATAAAGGATAAATAAAAGTTTAAGAATCACCAAATTAGAGAATTCATCATCCACACCTCACCATACTATAGGACAGCATCCAAAAAGTAATCTCTGTCCTTGAGGAGGACACTTCAAGAAACTAGAATCAAAAAAAGTAGAGGGGGGCAGCCCGGGTGGCTCAGCGGTTTAGCGCCGCCTTCAGCCCGGGTGTGATCCTGGAGACCCCGGATCGAGTCCCACGTCGGGCTCCCTGCATCGAGCCTGCTTCTCCCTCTGCCTGTGTCTCTCATGAATAAATAAATTAAATCTTCAAAAACAACAACAACAACAACAAAAATAGAGGGTGACAACCTGGCTGGCTCAGTCTGTAGAGTATGCAACTCTTGATCTCGGGGTTGTATGTTAAAGTCTCATGTTGAGAGTAGAAAGAATTAAAAAAAAAGATTTTATATATTTATTTGAGAGACAGATGAGGAGAGAGAGCACATGGGGGAGAGGGAGAAACAGGTTCCTCACTGAGCAAGGAGCCCCTTGCAGGGCTGGATCCCAGGACCCTGGGATCAGGGAACTGAGCTGAAGGCAGACACTTAATGGACTAAGACACCCAGGCACCCTGAGATTACTCTAAAAGACAAAACAAAACAAAAAAACTATCAAAAATACTTCTCAGAGGAGCCCCTGGGTGGCTCAATTAGATGTTGGCCTCGATTTCAGCTCAGGTCATGATATCAGGGTTGTGGGATCAATGGGCATCAGACTCAGGAGTGGACATGGGGTCTACCTGGGATCCTTTCTCTGTCACTTTCTGCCCCTCCCCCTTGCTCTGTCTGTCTCTCTAAAGAAAAAAAAAACTTCCCAAATTAATGATAAATCCTTACATTTGTGCAGAGTGTCGTACCATTCCCACAACACATTTATATACGTTTGCTCATTATTTGGGAGTTATTATTTACTTAGCTATAGAAATGGTAGGATCAAACAAGTGCCTTCTCAAACCCAGGGATGAATTACTGAACTAGAATTAAGGAGAGGAATAAATTAAGGAGAGCATTCTCATGAAGGCTTAAAATACCATCTATTCTGGCCTATCAAGACAACAGCTATATTCCCAAACTTCCTTCTCTATCAAAATTTACTCACTGTTGGTTCCTCTCAGCCGAGTTGTGAAAGGATTTTGGAATATGTATCTAAAATGAAAGAACAAAAAGAAAAAAATTAACCAAAAAAATGAAATGGTAAAAACTTGAGTCATGACATGAGCATTTGTGTTTCTTCTTTCTTTCTTTCTTCTTTCTTTCTTCTTTCTTTCTTTCTTCTTTTTTAAAGATTATTTATTTAGGGACACCTGGGTGGCTCAGTAGTTCAGCATCTGTCTTTGGCTCAGGGTGTGATACCCAGAGTCCTGGGGTGGAGTCCTGCATTGGGCTCCCTGCATGATGCCTGCTTCTCCCTCTGCCTGTGTCTTTGCCTCTCTCTCTGTGTCTCTCATGAATAAATAAATAAAATCTTTTTTAAAATCTTTTTTTTTAGTTTTTTATTTATTTATGATAGTCACACAGAATGAGAGAGAAAGAGGCAGAGACACAGGCAGAGGGAGAAGCAGGCTCCATGCACGGGAGCCCGACGTGGGATTTGATCCAGGGTCTCCAGGATCGCGCCCTGGGCCAAAGGCAGGCGCTAAACCGCTGCGCCACCCAGGGATCCCTAAAATCTTTTTAAAAATTATTTGAGAGCGAGAGCGAGAGAGAGAGTGCAAGCATGAGCTAGGGGGAGAGGGAAAGAGAAGAGCAGACTCCCTGCCAAGGAGGGAGCCATGAGGGAGAGGGGGGAGGCTAGATTCCAGGACCCTGAGATCATGGCCTGAGCCACCTAGGCGCCCCTAATATTTGATTTTAAAAGTAGCTTGTCAGGTCTGGATGGGCCCTCCCAACTAGTAACCCAAAACTATGCCACACACAAAGAGCAGCCCATACCAAGAGAACATTTAAAAAGAAAATCTCTTGGGATCCCTGGGTGGCGCAGTGGTTTGGCGCCTGTCTTTGGCCCAGGGCGCGATCTTGGAGATCCAGGATCGAGTCCCACATCAGGCTCCCGGTGCATGGAGCTTGCTTCTCCCTCTGCCTGTGTCTCTGCCTCTCTCTCTCTCTCTCTGTGACTGTCATAAATAAATAAAAAATTTAAAAAGAAAATCTCTTGTAAACATAAGTGAGTGGCTATTTTTTCTTTCTGTTGTATACCAGGTTTTCATTGTACTTTGTACTTCCTCCAGAACTTTATGAATCAATTCCTCCCTCTTGCTTTGGTCTCTGCAGTCACCTAGACAGGTGATGCTTTGTCTATCATTTGGAAGACAAGTATGGCATAATCCACCTCTTACCTCAGATATTTTAATGTTTTAAGCTAGCATTTTTCATTGGCACGGATACAGCTTTACTCTCCTCTTAAGATGCACTCATTTACCCAGTACTATGTATAAGTCATATGTTTTGCCTTCAGAGATGTTATGGTCTAAAAATTGTATATTAAGGACTATGGGGTTCATCAATTGGAGAAATTACTATAGGGGAAGGAAAAGTTAAAGAAACCTTTTTCAAGAGTGCTTTCAAAAAAAAAAAAAAAGAGTGCTTTCACCAACATTTTCACCTCGATGATTTCCTGTACACTATTCTCTTTACCTTGAACACTTTCCTCTCCCTTTCTCTCTCCAATTCCTACTCATCCTGTAGGTATCATCTTTAAGAAGTCTTCAAGTAGACTTCTCTGTCTGCTTTTATCCCCACCAACAGCATAAATACCCCTGCCCGTCCTCTGCTTATTCTTCCTCATTGGTTAGTTGTTGTTAATTGTCAGTATTCCCCCAGCTGACTGTAAGCTCTCCATGAGGTCAAAATTCATGTTTTGTATCCTCAACACTTGCAGAGTGCTTGACATAGTAACCATGCAACAGGCATTTGCTAAACAAATGAAATAAATAGGAGGCATTATTTTTAGCTTTCTTCAAAGGATGAATGAGATGTGGGCATGTGAAGGTGGAAGGTCAAGAGCACTTTGGAAAAAGATAACATCATTTAAAATCACATTATGTTAATTGATACTACATTTCTTAACACCATTTATGAAAATGATGCTCAGAACATACTTGTGACTAAAAATTGAGAGAGGACAGCATTGGCAACACCAAATCAAAAGTATATAGAACAGTTTTCTTTGACCAATTTAAAAGGGATTGCTAATTTAAAGCCCATGAGTGTTTCCAGGAAGTTACCACACAGAAATTGTAATATAGTTATAGCTTGTCTTTCTACCCAGAGAGACACAAAGCTTCTTTAGGGAGGACTAAGATATTATCTTATTTCTTGTGTCAGACACGATTGGTTGCCTCTCTCACAATACACACACTAAACACACACACATCTCCACAAAATATATTGGAAATGACAGATAATTTTTCAACTTCCCTTCAGCTAAGCTAAAGACTTGATCTGAACCAGAAGGAAATGTGCCAGAGACTTCTGAGATAGA